TATCTATCTATCTATCTATCTATCTATCTATCTATCTATCTATCTATTTGTCAATTGCTTACAAGATAATAGGTATAAGTAAAAACCTAGTTATGAATACATGGATACATATAAGAAAAATAAAAGAAACAATAAGACAGGGACGGTAGGCACGATTGGTGCGCTTATGCATGCCCCCTACAAACCTCTTAGAAAGGGGTGAGGTCAATGGTAGACAGTCTAAGGTTAAAGTTTGGGGGTTTGGAATTTCACTGCAATTTAGTTTCATAATTTTAAGGTACAGAAATTAACTTCAAAGAAAATGTGTAAAAAATGTTCAGCAAGTTGAATTCTTTGCCTAGGCTGAGCTACATTTAGAGACTGAACTATTGAGACTCTAGTTTTCAGCCAAGGGAGAAACGTAGGGGTTGTGATGGTAACATTTCACCTTCAAGAATGAAGATGGCAACTATCACTGAGCCACATGATTGCTTATATATTGGCTCTTTCTATTTAATCATGCAAATGTGGCTCATTTAAATGGGAAAGTTTGGATTGATGTGTGGGTGAGAATTTAGATGGTTTCATTAAATATTAAAGCCATGTCAATGATGTATATGTTTTCATTAATTAGGCACACAAGTTTAAAGAAGTCAATCAATCCTGATGTACCTATTTTTTTTTTTTGCTGTTTTTGAAGAATTTAGTGAATTTTTATTTTATTTTATTTTTATTTATTTGTCAAAAGCTTACAATATAACAGAAACAAGAATAAACATAAGTTTAAATACAAGAAATAGGAACTAATAATTGGGGAGAATAGGACAGGGACGGTAAGCATAATTGTGCACTTATGCACACCCCTTATAGACCTCTTAGGAATGGAGTGAGTTCAACAGAGGTTAGTTTGAGGGTAAAGGAGTGGGGGTTTGAGCAGGTGACAACAGAATCAGGTAGTGAGTTCCAGACATTGACCACTCTGTTGCTGAAAGCATACTTCCTTCAATCTTTATTTATCAATGATACACTTTTATTTTTTTATTTTTTTATTTTTTTTATTTGTCAATTGCTTACAAGATAATAGGTATAAGTAAAAACATAGTTATGAATACATGGATAAATATAAGAAAAATAAAAAAAAATATAAAAGAAACAATAGGACAGGGATGGTAGGCACGTTGGTGCGCTTATGCATGCCCCCTACAGACCTCTTAGGAAAGGGGTGAGGTCAATAGTAGACAGTCTAAGGTTAAAGTTTGGGGGTTTGGGGAAAAAAACCACAGAATCAGGTAGAGTATTCCAGACATTGACCACTCTGTTGCTGAAGTCGTATTTCCTGAAATCAAGTTTGGTGCGATTAACCTTGAATTTGTATCTACTGTGTGCTTTTGTGTTGTTATGGTTGAAGCTGAAGTATTCATTGACAGATAGGACATTGCAATGTATGATTTTATATACTATACTTAGATCGGACCGAAGGAGGCGTAGTTCTAGGTTTTCTAGGTCTAGAATTTCAAGTCTGGTGGCATAAGGTATTCTGCAATGAGTAGTGGAGTGGAAAACTCTTCTTGTGAAATATTTCTGGACTTTCTCAACTGTGTTAATATCAGATATGTAATGTGGGTTCCAGACTGATGAGCTGTATTCGAGTATTGGTCTAGCAAATGTTTTGTATGCTCTAGTTATTAGTGTAATATTACCAGAGAAAAAGCTACGTAAGATTAGGTTAACAACTCTTAATGCCTTTTTGGCTATGTAGTTACAGTGGGCTCTAGCACTTAGGTCATTAGAGATGAGTACTCCAAGATCCTTGACAGAGTTTGGATCATCAACAAGGTCTTGGCTATTCAGCCTGTATTTTATTTTCTGATTTTTTTTTGCCAATATGTAAGTCAGAGCATTTATTTGTTGAGATTTGAAGTTGCCATTTGTTTGACCATTCTGATACATAGTCAAGGTCTTTTTGAAGGGTAGCAGTATTGTCTGTGGTGTTGAATAGCTTTACATCATCAGTGAAGAGAACGCAGTTGCTCTTGATATGATCACAGAGGTCATTTATGTAGGGTATAAAAAGAGTTGGTCCTAGAACACTGTTGACAGGTACAGAATTTGATAGGACGCTCCCAATTTTGACCATTTGTTGTCTGTTTGACAGGAATGCTTCTATCCAGTAATGCAGGTGTCCAGAGATACCGTAAGATTTTAGTTTTAGGAGTAGTTTGTTGTGTACCACTGAATCAAAGGCTTTACAGAAGTCTATGTAGACATCTATTGCTTTGCCCTGATTGAGTTGTGTAGTCCATATATTTTTGCAGTGTAAGAGTTGCAGATTACATGATAGTTTTTTTCCTAAAACCAAATTGTTTATTAGAGAGTAGGTTATTTGTTTCTAAGTGGAGGATGATGGATTGGTTAATAATTGATTCCATGACTTTACAGGTGACACAGCATAAAGAGATTGATCTGTAATTTTCAACTAAGCTGGGGTCTTCCTTTTTGAAGATGGGGATGACCGTGACTTGTGACCATAGTTTTGGCAAGGAGCTGGTCCTGAAAGATTTTTTAAAGATTATGCTTAGAGGTTCGGCTATGGCAGTGGGTAGCTTTTAAAAAGTAGGCACATATTCCATCCGGTCCAATAGATAGAGACGATTTTAGATTGTGTAGTGCTTTTTCAACATTGTCTTCTGTAAAATCAATATGTATTAGATCATTGCAGTTGTCTGTGGTTTGACTAGGAAATACTGGGTATGGTCCATTGCTGTTTACTAATACTGAGCCAAAGAATGTGTTAAAGAGGTTGGCTTTAATAGTGTCGTCATTGCAGTCTTTACCATTAGGTCTTTTCAGGGGTGGGATGGACCTTGAGTCTTTTAGTTTGTTGTTTACAAAATTGTAGAAAGTGTGGGTAGAATTGGTGCGTAGAAAGTTTTCTTCTTCTTTAATGTGATAATTGGTGCATTCTGTTTTTATCTGGTGGCATAAATTTTTGTATCGGCTTTTGAAGTTGGCAACATGACCAGATTTGGTTTTCTGCCAAAGTGATTTCTTTTTGGATTGAAGCTTCCTTATTGTTTTGGGTAATTTGTTTTTTCTGGTTTTGGGAGTTGTTAATGGTACATATAGTTTGATGACTCTTTTGACTTCAAGTAAAAATATGTTGCAATGATCTTCTACAGTATTGCATCCAGAGAATAGAAATTGCCAATCAAGGGATGAGAGATTGTTGTTTATAAGATCATAGTTGCCTTTTTTGAAGTTATAATTGGGGATTCCGTCATTGTGATGATTTTTGTGTGGACGTATGTTGAGACAAAAGTCAATCATGTTATGGTCACTGTTGGAAAAGGGTTCTTTAATTTGCATTCCATAAATTGAATTCAAACTATTGCAGAAGATGAGATCGAGACAGTTGTTAAGTCTAGTGTTGTTGGTTACTAGTTATTCTAGTCCCAGATTTGTTACTGCATTGTAGAAGGTTGCATGTGTGGGTTCAGTTGTACATTCGTTAAGGGTCCAGATAATATGAGGTAGATTGAAGTCACCAAGAAAGATATAAAGCATGTGGGCAGGATGCTGCCCATATTAGTAGCGTATTTAGCTTGTTTGCATGTTTGATGTCATAATCAGGGGCTCTGTAACATAGTAAGAACCGAAATGTGATATTTAAGGACAGTTCACAGACGATGGTCTCAGGAATAGCAAGGTCCTGGGTAACTTGGGTGTTTTTTAGGTGTAGGGACTTTTTATAGAAGATAGCAACACCACCTCCTCTACAGATTTCACGATCTGATCGGTAAACATGATAGTCTCTTACTGTAGTAATGGAGTCAGGGAGAGATGTGTTGAGCTATGTTACACAGACAAATATAATGTTGAATTTAGCTGTATTTAGTAAGAGGAGAAATTCAGGTATTTTATTCACAAGGTTTCTTGCATTGAGTAGCTTGCATTTAAGGCCAGTTGTAGTTGGAATTGAGGTAGTTAGAAGCGTGTGTGCCTAGTTTTGATTGATGGTGGGTTGGATGAGGTAGGGTTAGATGTGGAGTTGTGGGTTGTGTGACTTACTTTTGATACAATCTGCGTGGTAGTCAATGTAGAGATCCTTCTCTCCATTGTCTAGACATCTTTTGAGTTCATGTTGGAGTTTACTGGAGTGGATTCTTTGCAGTATGGATAAGTCTGGTCTTGAGCGAAGTTTTTTGTGATTGGGA